GTGCCAGAACAGGTGCTGCCTAGAAACAGACAAGCGGTAGCCTTCTCCCCCCACTCTGCAGCAGCCAGATGAAAGCTTAGTGATAATTAAGTGCAAATACCTACCTCATCTTTGCTAGGGAAGATTAACATCTATGTGCTCCTGTTGTTAGCAAATGCAATTCAGACTTACCCAGCACCCGTACACGTGCTTGGCTGGCATGCAGAACTGTCCCTTTCCTGTGGAACACCGTGCCTAAAGACAAGACACACAAAAAAAGAAGGTGGGTGGAAGAAGGGGGAAAAACGAGTAGCAGTAAAATTGCAAGGAATCTAACCGTATCTCTTGCTCAGTTTGGAGGACAGTATGAGGTGGGAACTGGAGCTAAAATAGGAAATACAGTGATTGGGATGGAAAAAAAACTACTGGAGGTGGCAAACAGGAGGGACAAAGAAAGAATGAAATAAGGGAGGCTGGTGAATATGCATGCTGTTGATTATCAGCTTATACTGAGATTAGAGAAGGCCCCGTTAACATTTGCCAGCCTCGTTCCTGAAGAATCACATTAGATTTTTTTTTTTAATCGTAGCTTTGCTTCACTAGAAAATAAGAGGCCCAGACCTTCCACATTACTAGAATCATAAGGGAACTCTTATAAGGCTAACATGTGCTCGCATTTTTGTTAACACTGCCATACTCCAGGCTTTCTTGATCTGCCGGAGCAGGTACCATTTTAGGGAGATCACCTCCTCAAAGCTCCCATTCCTCAAAGACACCCTACCGTAATGCAAACCATCAAAATATTCCTTCAAATCTCCTTAACACACTTGGAGACTCCATCGGCTACAGTTCTGTTTATTTGCATTACCTTCACAAAACATCACCATCAGAGTGGCAGTAGCAATATCTTCAAAACATCTAAGATTTCAAAACACACCAACCCACAAGTGTTTTATGAGAACATCCTCGTCACCCCTAGTGTGCGTACATTTCAACAAGGCAAACCGACACATCCAAGGCTTCGCTGACTATCAGCACGCAAATGCCTTCTTTGGAGTCAAAGGCAAACAATTACAATCTTATTGCTATTTATAGTACTCCAATAAGCAAAGCTCACAACCTGCTAGACTCTTCATGAGCCCAGTTCCTTTCTACCAGCCCTGTGTCAATTGACAGCAACCTTAACATGGTCAACAAAGATTATTTTCAGTAATTAGAGATGGCGGATCCCAAGTTTGAAACTAATCCTTTCCCAGCTAGCCTGCAGGTTGCCTGGGTGTGCTGGACTCTGAGCTGGCCTCCTGACTCCACCTTCCCCTCAGGTTGATGCAACAGAAAAAACATCTGCGTGTTGGACTGTACTCAGGCACGGGAGTAAGCAACAGTTATTTAGGCCATGATCAGTACTTAAACAGCCATTCCCTGTCTCTGCCAGGAGAAAATGGCAACAAGCCACAAGGCTATATCCCATTAGCTCAGTCTGGTCCACAGACCAGCATTTGCACTGCACTGCAATAACACATTAAAAGTCTTCTTCACTAGAAGTCAGAAATTTCCACACCAACACTCTATTTCAAACTGAGATGTTATGGCTCAAAAACCCCGTTGCAATTATAAAATTGCCTCAGCAAGAAGTTTGGCCTTGCAGGTAGAAAAATCCCCAGGTTCTGATTAATCTCTTTCTACATTTGTTTCCTACGGTAAAAGAACACATATATATATATTTATATATATATTCTATAATTTGTTGGTAGTAGTTACACCAACTTCATTGGATCAACGGAAAATTAATTCTGAATTTGAAAAGCACTGAACTCTATACAGAGGTCAGTGCAGCTGCATCAGTGCTGTTACCCCTTCTCGACTTCTAAGTCAAAACAAGGGTTCTGCAAGTTGTTCCCCATCAGAGGAGAAAAATGTCAACAGTCAATATTTTCTTGATGTGTTCCCACTTATTTGCCAAAATGTACAAAGTTCTGTTTCTCTGCAAATAGAATGAAATGAATTCACTCATTTGGGCCAAGCTGCGTTTTATTTTGTTGATAGCCTTACTATTTTTTTCAGAGTTACGATACTCACGCTTCTCTGGCGGAGCTTTGTGCTTTTTTATTGCTTTCTCTCTCTCAGTTTCTTTCTGATAAAGGACATTAAGAAGTAACTGGGACAGCCAGCTGCCCAGGTGTTCCTAATGTGCGCACTGGCTCCGGGCAGTGACAAAGTGGCAGTATTTAAAGTAGAAGCTGTTTTAATTTCAACCATCTGGCTTCGCAAGACAGCTTAATCACTTCTTATAACTGTCTTAAATGAAGGAAGCATTGGACAAAGAAATCACGTAGTTATGAGACTTTTCTATTGCAGCTGGAAAGGTGGTCTTATCTGAAACAATTTATATTTTCTGATTTTTTCATTTGGAAAAAGTTATCCCAAGAAACTCTACCAAAATCAGCACACGGCTACTTGACGTAAGCTCCTTCTGTGGAATAGATCTCTTTTCCCAGTTTGACTAAATGAAAGATCATTTTTTAGGAGTAGGTGTCCTAGAAGGCATCTCTGCCAGCTAGTGGAAAAGCGTCAGTCAGCGCAGTGACTCCCATGCAAGTAAGCACAGGCTCTAGAGTATTCTCTAGATCTGCAAGGAATGCAGCTTGTTTCCTGTCATGGGCAAATGGCACAAGATATGCTGACATAGCTCGTGCTTCTGGCGCTCAGCAGCGGATAAAGACTGTTCCTGCAGCTGGCCTCGACTTAGCCAATGTCACTTGGGTAGCGTTCCTGTTACTTTTTGTAATTTCAGCAGGCCTCTACCCTCAGAGCAAAAAGAACAATAATATAAATTGCTCTATTCACTGTCTGCCCTCTTCTATCACCAGAACTAGCAGCTCTCCTACTAGATACATGGAGCCAGCAGTTTCCACGGGACAGTTCAGGAAAAAAAATACTATTCTTTTCCTGAAGGAGCAGCACAGAGTCAGCCACATACCTGCAGTACTCCTTGAACAGTGGCCAAGATATGATTTTCCCATTATGGATGCCAAACCTCAGGCCTGTTCTGATTATACTGGGTGCACTGGGTAGCTAGGAATATCGCTTGAATAAGGGTGAACTGAACCTCAAGTGGCCTAAGAATAATTTGTTTAGTCTCACAACAACTGACTGCTACTTCATCATATACAGGCTCTAATTCTTTACTCTGTTCCACTCTTTACCCTTGCACCGCTGTCACTCTACGGACTTCTGCAATATCACCCTGCAATAAAATCAGTGGAGAAGGGCAACAAACCCATTGGAATAATCTTCCCAGTGTCCTGAAGAACATGTATTCAGTTAGGTACTCATAATCTGAAATATCACAAAAACAGAAACAGCTTTCATCATCACCAAAATACCTCATTACTTTCTGGTATACCTATAGCATTCATGCTACAGAGAAATGCTATATCCCCATTTTAGCAAGTGGATACCAAAACACAGAATGCACATTAAGGTCATGGATGAGTATGTGAAAGAGTGAGGATGTGACAAGGCAAAGGCTGTGCCCTATTTTGTTTCTCCTACGCATTTGAAATAAGTGCAAAACTGTTAAAGTTTGGCAGCATTTCATTTCCTCTTTTCTCAGGTGTGACTACACAAGGTGTGACGCAGGAGAAACGCAAGCCTGCAGTTTTTTTGTCTTGACCATGAGCTTAATCACGAGACCTCTCTCTAGCCCTGCCTACAACTGGAACGCGATCAAGCCTTTAGTTTACAGTCTGCCTAAGGATCCTACATTCTTAACTGTTTTGAGAGTTTTAATCTTTGCAATCAATCCATACTCTTGTCTTATATATTTTCTCATTGCTGCTTCCTTACATGAGATGATTTTAAAATCTGAAATTTCAACACAAAAAAGGAAGTGTTTCCCAAGTAATAAGCCTCGTGAGTTCAAGTAGTAAAAAAGCAGATAACAAACGACTACATACAGGACTTTCTTCAAAACAATGCAGTCATTTATACTTTAGTAGATATCTTTTCAGCCTACTATTTAACAAGGAAGGTGCTATAATGTCATTAAGCAATTGTTGATATGTTTGTTTATTTTAGCTCCCGTTTAGAGTCTGAAAATAGTAAGCTCTTCTTTTAAGTTTGGCAAGAGTTCCTGCTCTTAAGAGCTATATGTTTAAAGTGCTGAACCCAAGGAAGCCAATTAGGCAGGCCACTTATTCAAAATGGGGCTTCTCTATTAGTGACATTACTTAATGGCATAGCACCGTTGTAACAGGAAAAATAATATGATTGTCAATGTTCATCAGATGATTTACAGACATTTATATGCAGACAGCATATAGACTTTCGTGTGACCTTTTATGATTAAAACATTTAAAACCCAAACCTGTGATAATTTTTTTCAGACAGAAGAGAGCAATAACGTGCATAAAAGGAAGAACTCTTCTTGACATATATTCCATCATAATGATACCTAAAAAACAAAAAAAAAGATGAACTGACAAGCCTACAATTTTCAAGATAAAGTCAGCAAAAAAACACATTCCTCCAGCTGATCTTTCTGTTTAAACAAGAAAAGAGCAAGCAGAAAAAGTTACATTTATTTTTTTTAATTCTGTTGAAACATTATTTTCCCAAAAAGTAAGATAATTGTACATACTCGACTAATCTTTCTAGAACGGCTTTACAAACTCTTTAACAGTTTCAGCACTGTAGAAATACCTTTTTTCAAATGAACAAACACAGGAAGTCAGTGAATGAAGTGCAACACACTTGTACAAGACAACTACATAGGCCAGGGAGCAGAGTCTCAGTTGGTCTATGTCCCTGTATCCCCACTGAAGATTAAGGATTTAGTTCAGTTACACTACTGTGATTTACAATAGCTTATGGACTGGACGGTCCATCTGTAGTCGTAACAAGTTAAAAAACAATCTTGCAAATAAAGTTTTTGCCAGTCTTGGTGAGTAGTGGAGTGATTATTCCTGCTACCCATGTGCCACCAGCTGGCTCTTCCCTGGCATTTTCAGGCTGGATTACTACCTGGAACAGGTCAGTTGGTAACAGCAGTGCAACAGTTTCTGGCCGCAAACAGCCAGCAGAGGGTAACCTTCTGCTGATGTTGAAGACAGTGCATGGAGTCTGAGGGCTATCACGCACCATCCCAATTCCAGCCAGGTATGAGAAACAGCCTGGGAGCGTCCGTGGTAAAGCACTCCCAAAATAAAGGATCTTGCTGGATCAAGCTGATAGCAAGTCCAGACTAGGGGAGAAAAATCACAAATGAAGTAAGGGCATGTCATTCTCAGAACCAATACTTTACAGCTGCTCAGAAGGCATGTAAAATTACTGTGTCTCAATGCCCCTAAAACATCCCCTTTTCCAGTCTAGATCTTCATGAGTTGGTTATAAATGCGGATACTAAATCAAGGAGTGTATTGACCTCAATTCTCCTGCTTTCCATGCTCTTCTGGAGCTAGAGGGGAGGGGAGAGGAAGAGGAGGGAAATGGAGGAGGAGAAACTGAGGTGATTTGATTTAAATGGCTTTCAACCATTTATAACAGTTCCACTGGCCACCAATACACGCCGGGTCACGCCATGGATATGCACAAGGATAAAAAGCATTCTCAGTGCACGAGGGTCCTAGCACAGACATTAATCACAGCTGCCATCCCTGTGTGTCCCTGAGCCAGGTGTTCCTAACACAGAGCCTCAAGAGCTCTGACCCAGGTTCTGAGGTCCTGTGGCTGCCTACACAAGCCATGCTGTAACAGCCAGTACAACTCAAGAGTGTTACATTTTTTAAAACCAGTCTGATCTGGAATTCACGCACTGCCAAAGCAGCACCAATGTGGTTAGTTTCATGGAATTAACTCTATTTTAATGTACTTGGTGACATCATGAATCACTCTGGATCTATTCTTTTGATCTATTATAGACTGCAACCAGCAACTCAGCTGGTGTATCACAGTGCTGGAGCTTAAAATTCAGCCATTTTTAAATTTTATTAGGACAGGTACGTGTAAGATTTTTAAACAAAGGAAGCAAAAAAAAATACCTGGCACTCCCTCTTGTGCCCAGCCTTCTTGTCCCCAGACCTGGGAAAACTAACCGAACAAGCTAAAAAGCAAACAGAAAATAAGAGATACTTGGCTAATTCATTCTAAAACACAGAAGTGTTATCTACTACACTACTTTTCTCCTTAATCATTTCTTTTGCCTTCTGTCATTTGCAGGCTAATACCTGTTCTCATGTACCTCTCAAATGGTAACACTTGAACTGCAAGTCAGTAAGACAGGCTTCTATGGATCCAAAATCTAGTAATTTAAGGGATTACCTCCCACAAGTATGAATTTTTCAGACTAGCTTGTTTTGCCTTATACTGAAACATACTTGATGCACACATCAGGAGACCCCACACAGCCACTTACTGTATATCAACTAAGTGAACTTGATCTGCAAGAGCACTTCTGACTAATGCCTTGTAAAGGTACTGTGACTGTCTAGTATTCTACCGGTCCTGCAAGCTTTACTCATTCAAGTAGTCCTTGCTCACACAAGGGACTTAGCCTACCTACTCACACTTACAAGGAGTGCTTGCAGGATGGGGACTGACTTATGTTTTTAAAAGAACCTGAGTCATCAAGCTGCAAAGTGACCTTTTAATCATCACTGTGGCAAATGTGAACTGAGGGCACGTAGCATCTGTCAAGGTTAGGCCCTACATAAAAATAAGATACCATCAGTGCAATAATCCACTTCATTACGATTATTCTGCATGAGCTTTTTGGCTAACCAAAGGCTAACCAAAGAGAGCTGGAGCTAATGTTCTCTACAGAGCAAGAACAGAGGATCAAGTACAAAATGCTACAGATGAGTGAAGGGAGTCTCCACTGAGCAGTGCAAAGTTTGGACATTGTGAAAAGTGCACTTGCTTGGTCCAAAGGCCTTGTAAAGGACAAATTTCCCCAACTCACACTAAAATGCAGCTTCATTTTAGCGGTGCTTGGGTGGTTCTGTTCTTTGCACGTTTCTGTGAGCATATACCTCAGGTCTTTCAATCTGGTGTTTTAGCACAATCCTGTTTTTTTAAAAGGCCAGCCAATGAACTGGAGCTGCTCTGGCACGAGGCACATATTCATTTCCATTGCCTCTTCTACAAAAGTGGTGTTATATTTGGGCAGAAGGATCCGGCAGGTGGTATTAGTAACATCTTAAATTACCACAGTTTGATTCACATGGGGCTTGACTGCAAATGTCATTATGGTATACAGACATGTAATGCAATCAGGTTACCACAGCTTAACCAATTATGAATGGTTCAGCACATTAGCTGAGCTATGGTAACCGAATGCACGCGCACCTTTAGTTGAAATCAGCACTGCTGCAATTCCTGCTCTCCTCAACCTCTGGCCACACAGTCCCACCCCCTGCTGCAGAAGCACAGACCAGTTCAAGCCATTAGGCAGCTGCACTCCAGTTTGTTCATTTGTCACGTGTTAGCTTGCACTGCAATGTATGGAATAGGTTAAGGCTATGAATAAACAATTTCAAGTATCAACTTAGAGCAGCTAAGCTTTTCTGCATGGCCAGCCTCATGCTTCATCCATGCCTGTCCCAAATGTAAAGTAAAATGCCTTAACTTAAACCACAGGAAGCCTTAGCTTACAGGTGGCAACTCAGTCCCGTCAGGGCACCTGAAAAGTGCACAGACAGGATGGGATTAATCTTACCTACATGGCTACAAGGTAGACATGTCTAGGACAGTCACTGCACACTCTATAGTCAAGAGAGAGAACCAGGCAATTCCAAAACACAATTCATCTGACCTACTTTAGATGACTAATTTAGGGTGAGAGGAATCACATGTAACTATTTCTCTCCATTGACTACCAAGAGATTTTAACATGACTAGTTGCATGACAGACATCTACACTGAGCCAGATAAACTCTACTCACAGGCTTGAGGGATAGGTGATGATCATTAAGCTGTGGCAAATAAATCTTGCTGGATCACTCACTCCAATCTTAAGAGTGAGCGATTTGCTGCAAACCCAGTAAAAAAGTCACATTCAGCTGAACTGAGACAAATGATTCCTAAAACAAAATGAGGTTATCCGCATACACAACATTAATTTCAGATATAACTTTTACTTACATTAATTTGGCTTGGGTTAAAACAATGCTGACTAGGTCCTACCATGGACACTAATGGAAGAATATTAGCAGTAACAATAGGAAACTTTGAACAAAAAGTTTTGACCAACAAATAACCACAAGCCTTTCTGTTTTCTTTAATTTGTTAAATAAAGTTGGGTATCTATGAGTGTTTGTTGCATTTGGGATTTTAAAACGGTAAATGCCCTATGGGTTGCATCAGTTTCCGTTTATTAGAAGAATGTAACTGCTTAAAGGAGATTAGGTTTTACATCTGCATTTGTTTCACTTGGATGATTCTATAAAGACTTTGTTGACATGTGTTTGCAGCAAAGTCTCCCCAAGCACATTTAAAAAATAACCTAAAACCCTCACCAATAAAAGAGAAATGAGAACTAGAAGGGTTTTGCACTTAAAAGCTACTAGTTATGTAATAATCAAGTGAACCTTTTAAGAACAGAAGAAGCAACTACTCAAGACTACTTTATTAACCTTGCACTGTTTACCCTGCTAAAGCCTTCTAAAATACATGGGCAAAAGAAATCTTTGCTAGTGTAACATACACCAGTTCCATGAAGACAATAAAGTCCGTTACAGAGAATACTTTTTCCCTAGTATAACCGTGTCTAGATGAGGGCACTTACCAGAAGTGTATTAGACAAGACACAAGCACAGCTGTCATTACTACATCAACAAAAGTCTCTGTGTACCTGCCACAGAAAATAAGTAATAAAGACACAACTCCCCAAACAGACCAAAAAGGAACGAAAGATCTGACAGAAGCCTTCAAACACAACCTTCTTCCCGGATCCTAACGCCAAATTATTTACTGCATAATGCATCAAAATCACTCTTTTTTTTAAATTTAATCTCTCTTGGTATGCAATGCATATATTTGTTGCAATGTATGTATTTGATACAAACTTGTCCAATTTTCTCTTCAGGTAGCTCAGCTTCTTATCTTATAAATCCTATCTACTCTGTACCTTTCCAAAGGTGGCTGGATTTACTTGATTCTTGACATTTTGACCGCAGTTTTCTATATACATTTCATACAGTAGACAACGGGGTACACTGCATCCTTCACACACACAGAAATTATCAGCTATCCTTTAAAACAAAAACATCAACCAGTTTATGTAAAAATTAGAAAACAGGATTGTTAGCTTGTCACTTTAATAGCTCATCAGGTTTACAGTGAACTTTGTACTAGTTACGTCCATTTTATAGAAGCGTAAAATCAAAGTAAGACCTACTCCTTTCATGTTAATCTGTATTCTTGAAAAAACAGTACATCTTCATAGATATATATTAGAGAGCTTTCTAAGTTTCTTTTTACCTTTTTAACCTTGTTTCTAAAGTGAGAGGTCATGTGATACTCTGCTAAGAAACAGACCAGATCTCAAAGTTTTTAATAATAAACAAGTTAATATTATTATAATATTATGCTAAACCAATATGCTAAATAGTAGCATCTAATAGAACTGAACTTTGATCTTCTAACTACACAGGTCTCTACTACATCCAAGATAATAACATGAGCATTTTTTGATCTAAAACCATTGCCCAGTAAGATGCTTTGGGATGGAGAATGAACAAACTATGAAGGCCCAAATTCTGTTCTCATACAACCCCACTGATTTTAGTATGACTATAAAAAGTGAACTGAACTTTATTTACAGTTACTGTGCAACAAAACTGTCAGTATTACAACTGTTGTAAGTATGTTTAAATACTCATCCTTTGGCCAAACCTCTTGCTCTTCCTACTTGTCAGAACGGTCACAGTCAAGTAAACGCAACTGTGTGTTTCAGTAAGGTAAGGAAGATGTGAACTTAATTATCTAGCTTGAGCATTACCTTCACCAGAAAAAGGCCTTTAATTATGAGATAATGCCAACAGCTTCAATGTCAGAAGGTAATAGCTTCCTGCAGTACAAACCAGAAGCAAAGCTGGTGCAGAGAGGTAGAGAGGAGATTAATTTTCAAAGCATGACACATGGATCGTATGACAGTGTTTTCTTACTGTGACTCTGCTTCCGTTATACCAACTGATGTGTGCGTATTTAATTATTGTATCAGATGAATGCTAGTGCAACACAGTGCCAGTTATTCCCAGTGACTTTACTGATAATTCACTTGGTTGAGAAAGCAGTCTTTTCATAAACACCAGGTGAGATAAGCAGTTCAGGTTTTAAATCAGCATTCTCCATTGTACTAATAGCCTGATTTCACACTACCCAGTGTTTACCTTTCTGTATTAGCTTTAGTGGCAGTAGATAATGGATAAGGTCTTCAGCAAACTGGCTTGCTAGGACAGGCTCCATGTGATACCCATGAGCAAGAACATTATCACTGTGCAGGCCAGTGACGCCTCGCTTCTGCTTCCACCCCGCTTTTTATTCACGCCTCCTCCCCTTTGTCCAGGGAAGAAGTCTGACTTCCACCCCCAGTTTTCACTTTCCCTAGCAAAAGGCCCTGAAATGCCTCGTTTTTGCCTGCTTGGAGCCCACGTTGCCACCCACGAACACAATAGCCTCACACTGCCAAGCCACTGGCTGTGCTTCTGCTCCACTTCCCCAGCTGTGCCTGCAGGGCTCCCTGCCAGGTCCTCACCACCTCCAGCCTGACCACCTATTTTGACATGCTTCCCAGCTACAAAAAAGGAGCAGAAACCAGCACCCAGGACAGGCAGGAGAAAGGGGGAGGACCTGTGCGGTGACAGGGTACCTCCCATCATGCAGCTAAAAAATAAAGGAGTTTTACTCCAGATAAGAAACCTGACTGAGCTCTGCCTCCCAGCAGCCAGAAATACTTTTTTCTCCCAGAGCAACCATCTCAAAACCCTTGCTAATTGAGTAGTCCTGGAGGAAATTAAGCCCAAGTCCAAATTCATCCTTAGTATAACACCACAAGAGTCGATGGAAGCGTGGCAGAAATTAATTCATACTTTAGTTAACCGCTTCCTGCCAATAGTTTTGTCTCAACACTTAACTGTTTAGTGGGAAAATATCCAGCAATTTTATTTCATGAACTTATTGCTCATTAAACTGTGAGCCTTTTTCAAATAAAAAAAAAAATCAAACCTTAGTGCTGACACAAAAATACAGAAGTACTGTGTATCGGAAAAACTCTACAAAGAAAAGACCACGGTGCTTATCTTCTTGCTCATTAGCCCCCAGGTTCCCAAAACCTGAATGCTCATGGCACGCATCAAAACAAAACTTGAATAAAAGACATTAAAATCAAAGGGAAAGAGCATGGTGAGGGAGGAATAAAGAGGAGGATAAAGAAAAAGCATATGGGGAAAGACCACTCCTATTTATCTACTACTTTCTACCCATGCTTTCCCCTGGGATTGTGATGTGGGATCAGTTCCAGGCAACCACCTCAAACGTACTCCGCGTTTCTCTGGGGTTTGCCACCTGCTCTGTGTGATCCTTTGGTAGCTAGACCATTATATCAGTTTGCATACCTGCTATTAAACCATTTCTGGACCCAAACCTGTTTCGCTGGTGTTAATATACCGACCACAAAGCTGAAGCTACACATTTTAGAAGTTTCAACACATGAAAAGGCAATCCAGAAGTAGCATATAACGATTTGAGATTAGGTGTTGTCAAGTTAAAGTTCCCTTGCAAGTGCTGTTATTGTTCCAGCACACTTTCAAGACCGTCGCCTTCACTACCTGGACTCAGCTGCGCTCGGGGGAAGAGGAGAAAGTAATGCCGGGGTCTCACACGACAGAGGACACTCCTCTCAGAGCACAAGAAAAATAACGGTGACAACCTGACCCTGTCACAGCAAGGTGTCTCGCCGAGGAGTCCAACCCTCACCCGAGCGTCCAGGGCACGTAACCTCGGAGGGTGCCCGTCACTCAGAGCGGCTCCTAACGCCGGCCGGCGGTGGGCCGTACAGCCGCACAGCTGCCCGTACGGTGCTTTACAAGCCCGGCAGCCAAGGCCCAGGCAGCGAGTGAGCCCAGCCGTCCGCACGCCTCACTGCAACGTCGTCTAAAACGAACGGCAGCTTAGCAGCTGGATGTGAACGAGTGCACAGGCTTGGGTAAATCCCTGAATGCCCCTTCCCCCCCCGCCTCAAATCAAACCACCTCTACGCCGGCGCAAATCATGCCAGCGGACGGACTTTCTGGGAAG